GAAGGCCGCTTTCTCCCGTCCCACTTCGAAGAGCGCCATCACCCTCCCATGAATATCAGCCTGCCAGGCTCCCCGTGTGAGCCCCGGTGACCACCCTCACACTCAGCCTCCAAGCCCAGAAGTCATCTGGGCCTCTTTCCCTGCTCACAATGCACTGGGCCCCAAACCCTGTTCCCTCTGTCTCACTTCAGGCCTCTGTCCCTCCTGTCATGCCGCACTGTCTCCGCTTGGCCTGGGTTCGTGGCCTCCAGGTGTTCTGCCTCCTGCTTAGTTCTCCTCTCTTTCTGTCACCTCCTCCACTTGGTGGGGTCTCTTGGAAGATGCTGTGGTGGTTCAGTGATTCCTGGAAATTTGCAGGCAGTCCCTGTTGGCGCAGCTGTTCCTCGTGGCTCTTCTAGAGGCTGAGTGCCAGCCCGTTCCTAAGCTGCTGACAGATCCCATGCACCCTGACACCCCAAGGTCCTCCCTGGGGCCCAGAAGGATGGGAATGGTGCCAGCAGGCAGTGTGCTGGGAGGAAACGCTCCCCCATCCCTACTCCCAGGTCCCAGAAGCGGCACTCCCCCATAAAGATAGGATATGACCCAATGGAGAGAGAAATGGAAGAATAAAACCCAAACAAAGGTCAGGAAATGGCATTCTGGGCTGGGCAGCCTCTGGGAAGGGGGCAGGTGGACAAAGAGATGCCAGGAAATGCCCTTTGGGTGCAGGCTCTGGGGCCAGCTGAGAATAGAGGCGGTTCCCATGTGACCTTTGCCAGCAAGTTTTCAGTGAGTGCTCCTCCTAGCCCCTGGCTTGGCTCATTCCTGCTCTTCGGTCACCTGTGGTCCTAGCTGCCCCTCCTCCAGAAAGTCTTCCCTGAGCCACTCTGATAAATGGGGTGGGGGATGCCCCTCCTCTGTGCCGCGCTCGCCACACGCCTGCCTGATCACTCATCTAGACCGTGAACCCCCCAGGGCAGGGGCTGCGTCCCACTCACCACTGTATCCCTGGTTCAGGGCCTGGCACGTAGCAGGTGCTCAAGGAAACTTTGATGGGGGGTGGGACGAATGAGCAGGTGCCCGGGGAGGAAGGGGAGAGCCCTTCTCAGACCCATCCTAACCTTCCTGTTGTAGAGTCCTTGGTCTCCTCCACCCATTCCCCCTCCTCTGCTGGTGGAGGAGGAGGAAGAGGAGGTGCAGGACTTCCAACCCTCGGGCACCATCCTCTCTCCTTGTGTCTTCACCTAAGACCCACCTTCCTCAGGGGGGGATCAGAACTTTTCAACCAGAGAGAGACGCGTAATGGGCAAGTGGACAAGTAGTTCTTTGGGACCTTACTTTTGAAGGGAAGAGAGGAAGAGAATCGAATCACTTTTTAAAAAAATCAGCAAGTATGTCCAAGGAGAAAAGCCCTGGGCTAGAGGCCAGGGGACCCAGTGCTGCCGATAATAACTTACCTCATTTCATGAGCACCTACTGTGTGCCAAGGACCACACTAGGTGCTTTATTTGCATTATCTAATTTAATCCTTACAAAAACCCACTCAGGAGACATTATTACTATTAGTATCATCAACATCCCCATTATACAGATGAGGACACTCAGGCACAGAGAGGTTAAAACACCTGCCAGGAAAGACCCACGTCAGATCTGTCTGATCCCAAACCCTGCCTGCTGGGCCCAGGATCAGGCTGCATTTTGTGCAGGGCTCTGCTCCCTCCAGAGCCTCCCGCATCCACACTGGAGGAGAGGACACCTGCAGCAGGAGATGGGACATGGCCCACGCTGGCAGATGACCGGAGCTGAGCAGGGGCCAGGTTGCAGGAAGTAGCCCACGCTGTGCCCGCAGAAGTGAATCTTTTGGGTTTTTTGAACGAGCATTAAATGCAGTTTTCCATCAAAACCACATTTAGTTACATGACCATAATTCCCCGAAGAAACACCCCAAACTGTTTGAAGTTGCTGCTTCTGAGGAGTGGGTTTGGGGCAGGCGGGGCATGACGTAGGCCACCTATTCTTCATGATGAGTCTCCCAGTGGCATTTGTATGGTTACGCGAAATTTTATTTTTAAGAAAGAGACCATGCCGAGTCAAACACTCTTCCTCCGCTTATAAATGTATGTATCTCTTTCTTTTTCCTCCCCCTCCATCCCTTCTGTCTCTGTCCTCATTTTTTTTCCAGGAAGAAAAGATGCTGGGCATCCTGGCGCGGCACAAAGTTCGGAGCGGAGTCTCGGGCGTCGTGGGCATGGAGGTGGACAGGCTGCCCTTCCACGGCACCCACGCCCAGATGATCCGGAAGCTGGTGGATGTCGCCACGGTGTGTGTGTGTGACTGTGCTTGTGGACCACATACCAGAGGGCCGTGCCTGGACCTCGGGAGGAGTTCCCCGAGGGCCCCCGGCTTCTTTCCACGACAGCTGTGCACATAAACACTGGCCCTGGGTGAGCCCCGCCCGGGACCCTGCAGGACCACTGCCTGGGACGGGGCCATGCGGATGATACAGACCAAGGAGAACGTTTCTTTGGGGTTTTTTCTTTTCTTCCTAAGTGCTTAGAGGCTTTGATTTCAACCCTCCTCCTCCTGGTTTCTTCGGGGCACCCACACGGTGAGAGTCGTCTGACCAACCGCGCATGGGGACACGCACAAAAATATTCCTTGCCAGGCAGACAGAAGAGCAGGCACGACCAGGGCCGTGAATAATCCTCCAGGCTAACTAAGAAATAGTAAAATGTACAAATATGTAGTGTCTATTTACGAAGCTCTGGGACTTTACCACCAGCACCAAAATATTTATACCTCTGAAATGCTTTCTTTTTCAAACAACGTTTTGTTTACGTGGGCCTTCAAACCTTACATTTATCACCATCACCTTCTGTCTGGCCCCGCCCCCTCTTCACTCCCACAGGTCCTGACACCCCCCACCCCTAGGAGCCTGACACTTCTCCCACTCCCTCCCCATATGCTCAGCCCCAGCCCAGAGCCGGAGGCTTTGGCCTCCCCATGTAGGAGGGCAGGCACACTCCTGGAGCTTGGGGGTGGGGGGTCTGGATGGTGTTGGGCTCAGGTGGCTTCTGGACAGGATCCTTCTGGACAACAGTAGTCAGCTCGCCCGCATCTCCTTCATGATCTTCCACGGCACATTTCCCAACAAAATTAGAAGCAGAGTCACTGACCAGATCCCATTACACCCCTGTATCGAACGAGGACGGTATCCTGTGCTACTTCACGGCTGAGTGATGGCTGACTCATCCAGATGGAAGAGACCGGCTTCCCAGCTGCAGCCCCAGATGCTTATTGGGACTGCTTCTGCTTCGTTTTATTTCCTTAAGCATGTCTACTTCAGTTCTTTAAGGGACATTAGTTGTAAAGCGTGGAGCACTTGCTACTCTAAATTGTCTGCTCAACAGTAGAAGTTAAAGCCGAAGTGCAGAGTAAGCAATCAGGGATTCACTACGCCTTGGCATGGCCAAGCCCCTGGCCGGAAGGCAGCCGGGGTGGGGACCGTCCAGACCTCCCCTTGTCATTGTGGCCGGAAGTCCCCACCTACAGGTCTGTGCTTCGGCTGGCATGGGCTCAGGGCTGATGTGCTCATTGTGATGAGCTCACGCTCCCTCCATCTGCAGCTCCTCACAGCTCACCGAGTCCCTCCCGGCCCCAAGCTTCATGGGCCGGGGATCCTCCAGTGACAGTTTTGGTCCCTGACTTGCGACTGCAGAGCTCCATGTCCTGCGGGGCCTCTGAGAGCACCCCCTGGTATTTTTGAAGTCTCGATGCCTAGGGGAGAGAAAACCTCATGTCGGTAAAGCTGCCATCACTCCTCTGATTCATATTTTGGGGGAAGACACTAATGGGCTTTGGGTTTTGCAATAGTAATAACAGAGTTCTGTTCTGGCGTGGAGCAGTTTAAGGCAGGACTGTGTAATAGGTTATCTGTACTGTGGCCAGAAGTTTATGGGGAGATGAAGTTGTTTGGGAAAGAGACCCGGGTGGAGACCAGAGAAGGCTGAGAGTGGGGGGGTCCTCACTCTGGAGTGAGGCACCCAAAGGCCCCTCTGCAGGGAGAAATGGTCAAAGGTGCAAGAGAGAGCCAGGAGTAGACCCCTTGGCAGGGTCCAGCCCAGGGACCACTGGAGCTCTGAGCTCCAGGATCCGGTTTTCTTGTGTTTCCATTCTGCAGTAGGATTCCTGGTCAAGCCTTCAGTCAAGTTTTGCTCAAGTTCGTCCTCGTCTCGGCTGTGTCCACGTCTGGGGTATCACGGTGAGCATGGCTTTGACCTGGAGAAGCCAGTTACAGCGGGACAAGAGTGTCCTATAGGGAATGGCGGGGCGGCCCAGGGGAAGAGATGGGCTGGGCCACCAGCAGGATGGATTTGTGGGGCAGGTGAACATCTCTGGGCATTTCCAGGAATGTTAGGAGGGCTCCTGGCAAGCTGGGTCTGAGGTGCTCTTTGGGTGTTCAAGGGCAGCCTGGAGATGTTGGGCACACCAAAGAGCACAAGCCCTGTAGACCCTGCAGGAGGTGGGACTCAAAGGCAAGCCAGCCAGCTAATGGGGTCAGGGCTCCTTAACCTCCCCCCCCCCCGCTGTCCTCTGGTCAAAGGCCATCCCATTGCTCATCTGGGCAAGACATTCCTCTGAATTCATTTCCTGCCCCTCTTTGAGCAGGCCCTGCTGACGGCCAGCCCCAATCCTGGAATGACTTATCCTGGTTAGTAGCAAATTGGTGTCACTAGCGGTATTTGTTCAGAAACTGGACCATCGTTTGGGGGGGAGGGGATATAGCTGGGATAATTCAATGGAGAAAAAATTGGATATCATGACCTCTATGGTACATTCCAGCACTGCTATCTAATGTCTAATCTAGCACTGTCCTGATAGTTGTTGAATTAAAGCAGATGGAATTGAAATCCTACCATTTCTCTTGGTCATTGGGTACCATTGTGACCTCAGGGTAACTGCCATCAAAGGCCATTGTCTTGCTAGATGAGTTCCAGGCACGGAGGCTATGGGATCACCAGCTTCAAGAAGCAGGTTTTTCAGAAAAGCACTGAACCAAGCAGACCACCTTCTGGCTCCCTTGGTTATACCATTCAGAGGAAAGCAGCAGATGGGGATGTATTCTGTGCTGGCAATTTCTCCCACTCTTGTCTGGCCAACCCACAGACCAGTGTATATAAACAGGAAGATGAGCCCTCATCTTGCTAAGCAATACTGGTGAGTAAGAAAGGAATCTAGGGGCGCCTGGGTGACTCAGTCGTTAAGCGTCTGCCTTCGGCTCAGGTCACAATCCCAGGGTCCTGGGATCGAGCCCCGCATCGGGCTCCCTGCTCAGCGGGGAGCCTGCTTCTCCCTCTCCCACTCCCCCTGCTTGTGTTCCCTCTCTTGCTGTGTCTCCGTCAAATAAATAAAATCTTAAAAAAAAAAAAAAAGAAAAAGAAAAAAAAAGAAAGGAATCTAATGACTCTGTCATCTTCTGTCCAAACCAGATGGGCCTTTTCCTCCATCCATTCTCTCAGGAGAGAAAGGAGTCTTAATCCTCAATGATGTCTTCACTTAGTCTGTTTGGAAGAAGGATCAATTCTTGCAGAATTCTTCAGGACTCCAGGAATCTGACCCAGAGAAGGATTAAGTAACCAAAACCAAATCTACGTTTTTAAAATTATGCAGTTGATCTTGAGCAATAAACATGTAGCCTGTCACTGTCGAGAAGATGCTAAAACCTAAAAGGGCTGGCCAACAAATGTAAGCCTCCCCAAAGAAAGCCCAAGCAGTGAGGAGAGCCCCAAGAGATGACTCCAAGAGGTCTTTCTACTTTGGCAATCTTCGATAGTGAGGAGGGTGGTCGGTCTGATCAAGCCTTTCCTCACTGTGGGGAACAGACCCTGGAGGGTAGAAGGGATCATGTGTCCAAGGACAGAGTGATATTCTCCAAATCACAGGGCTGGACTCTGTCCTCAAAAGGGAGGGGGCCAAATTAAGTCCCAGAGTGGATTTGCAACAATGTGCCTAAGAGTTGAAGATACTTTATGAATCTCCAGAGGAGGGAGAGAAGACCCAACTTCACTTGAAGGCTCCATCCTTTTTGGTCACTGCTGGGTGACCAAGGGCAAATACCCTCATTTCTCTGAGCTTTCTCTAAGAAAGCCAATCCTGACTCTGCTGGGTATTTCAAGAGCCCTCTAGATCCCCCTGGTGTTGAAAGATCCTCCTTCCCCATAAGGACAGCAGCACACTCCAGCTGCGGCTGGCTACTTTGCTTTATTTGCAGACTCAAGTTTGCTATATAAATCCATTGCCCAGTCCAACACACACATACTTGGCATAAAAGAGAAGACAATACAAAAATACAACTCTTGATAGTAAAAGGAACCGCCCCCAGCTCATCCCAGTCCATCCCAGCGGAAATGCCCATGTTTAAGGTCAAAATAGGGGGAAATTTGGGGTGAGGAGGCATGGAGGCCTCAACCAGTGCCATCGCCCCAGTAAGATTCTGGGCTGGGACTGGGTAGACTCTTCTTGGCAGTGTGGCCATTTCTGCCACCTTCAGATCCGGTCACTTCCTCCTTCAGAAAGGGGAAGAGAGGCACCCCCAGGTTATGGGAGGCCCTCCACAAGGAGCTAGAGTAGGGCTACCCAGTCAAAGCCAAAGCCACTTCCAACCTGGGGTATCTGCCTCTGGGTACCCCTGATTGGAGGGTAAGAGATTCAGGATAAATCTGCCTCTTAGAGAAGGACGGGAGGAGAGGGGAAGAGAAATTGAAGATATTCTCCTTGGCCCTCCTTTTAGCAGATTCCAGAAATGTTCTGTGGATGCCAGCTTGTATCTCCTCATCCCTGGTCCCTCTCAAGGCTTGAGTCCTCCTAGCCCCTTGGGTGTGGGGAGCTTGAATCCAGAACTCTGAGGGAAGTCAGAGCTGGCCCCAGCCCACTGACCAGGAAATCTGAAGGGCTAGCATTTCCGCAAAGGTGGCCAGATCCTCGGAGCAGCAAGAAGTTCTTCTGGTCCTTGGTTGTGTTCACCAGGGTGGAGGCTCAACATGGTTGGGCACAAAGTTGTAGGAGGGATGAGAACCATACCAAGCCTTCTGGGACAGAAGATGATGGCAGAGAGATGGCTGCCAGTACGCTGGGCTACCTGCGGCCCCTGGGGCCCACTATCACTCTCCAGGTGGAGACGCGGGACATCTGGCAAAGGAGCAGTGCTGCAGAACAAAGGGGCGGGACGAGCCCAGGGGCCCCCTCCTCTCCTTGTCCTAGGGGCTATTGAAACCGTTGTGGAGTTTAACCCCAGGCCTTTGGGCTGAGAGATGCTAGAGAAGGTGTCTCTGTTTTGCTTTGTTGTATCTGAGAACACGGAGAGCATGTCATGCTCCTGAGACTGCTAGACACTCCACAGGGTGTGTGGCAGGGGACGGTACGGGGGGGGCGGGGCGGGAAACACCACCAGCACTCACATAACCCCAGCCTCAGTGTCTTGGCACAGAGCTCTCATGGAGACCCTGGCATTTTAACGCACGCACACACACGCGCTCACACACAAGCCCCGGCTTCCGTGCCCGGTGCTTCTGGGCAGATGGAAACAGAAAACTAACTAGGAGGACTCTGTGTGTTGGGAACTCTGTCCTGACACGGAGCTTTCAGTACCGCCTGTTTGAAAGGACACAGACATGGCCCCAGGGAGCCCCGGGGAACCCTGGGGTTTGTCTTCTATCAGTCCCGGGGCTGGGGGAATCCGCTCAACTCTCCCTCTGAACGTGAGACATGCCTGGAGCTGGGGTCTCTCCTCCTGTCACTCCCTTCACTGTCCCCCACCATGCACCCCCGGCGCCCAAAAGCCTCCCCACCTCCCTTCTCCCTGACCGACCTCCTCCTGGCAGGTCCTCTTCCCACAAACGGGTGGGTCCTGAGCGATAATGATGACAACACAGCTTCATGTGTCATGTCCCCAGGAGGCACTGGTGCATTTGGAGAGGTGTCATCCGTGACAATGGCACTGGAAGGTCCTGGCACGTGTGCCCCCAGGTGCCCCACCCCAGCCTCCCCTCACCCCCGCCTCCATGTCCACACACTCTGCACCCCCCACCCCCGCCTCCATGTCCGCACACTCTGCACCCCCCCCGCCCCCACAGCTTCCCTTCGAGAACCCCGTGGAGGTGTCAGCTGGCCGTCTTCCCCTCCCGAGAAGCCCCACCCGCACAGACAACACCCAGGAGCCGACGGGGCCCCCTCCCCGGCTGGGCCCAGCAAGCTGGAGCGGGCTCCCCGGGACCAGAGGGGTCCTGCCGCGGGGCGCGGCCCCTGGTTCCCTCCAGCAGAAGGAGGCACCTGCCCGTGGCAGAGCCGGGAGGCCGGTGGCGGCAGCCCCGACGGCGAACTCGGGCCTCACCCGGCCCCCCACGGCGAGAGCCCGGCTAGGCCAAGCCACCCGCGGGGGAAACCCCGGCTCCGGGCGAGTTCGGGGTCTGGAAGGTCGAGTGGAGCCTGGCCAACAGCTCGGGCTCGTCGCTTTTCCCCGAGGCCTGGGCGGCACCCAGCGGGTAGGCCTCCCGGGCGCGGCCGGGGCCCGCGCAGCTGAGGAAGGCCAGGCAGGCCCCCCGGAGGCGGCCCAGGTCCCGGTGCGTGGACTCGCTGACGAAGCAGTACAGCACGGGGTCGGCCACGCAGTTGAAGCTGGTGAGGAGCAGGGAGAAGTGGTAGGCGTTGAAGACGGCCTTGGCAAACTGGCAGCTGGCCTCCCAGAGGCTGCGCACGAGCAGCAGAGCGTGGTAGGGCAGGAAGCAGGCCAGGAAGATGACCACGGTGCTGAGCACCAGCCGCTGGATCTGGTCCTTGCGGCTCTTCTGGGTGCCGTGGCTCCGGCACACGGCCCGCAGGATGCCCCGGTAGGAGGCCAGCAGCAGGCAGAGCGGGAAGAGGAAGCCCACGAGGAAGCGGTAGTAGTTGATGCCCCGCTGCCATGGCTCCAGGGGGTAGTGCTCGAAGCAGACGCGGTGCCGGTCCTTGTCCTCCACCACCTCCTTGTGCATGAGGAAGTAGACGCTGCTCAGCAGCTCCTTGGTCCAGACGAGCGCACTGATGGCCACGGCCGCCTTGAGCGTGCGGAACTGGTGGAAGCGGAAGGGGTGGGCCACGGCCAGGTAGCGGTCGATGGAGATGCAGCAGAGGAAGCCCACGCTGATGTAGATGTTCTCGTAGAGAAGGATGCCGCACACCTGGCAGGACAGGTCCCCGTGCGACCAGTGGTCGTGCTGCAGCACGTACTGCAGCCAGAAGGGCAGCGAGCAGATGTAGAAGAGGTCGGCCATGGTCAGGTTGCACAGGTACACGCCCAGCTCATTCCGGGCCTTGATCTGCAGGTAGCCGAAGTAGAGGGACAGGCAGTTGGCCGGGAAGCCCACCACCAGCACCACGATGTAGACCACCGGGGCCAGAGTCTGGTGGATGGTGTGGTCGATGGCGCACAGTGAGCCGTTCTCCACAGTGACGTTCCCCATCTTTGGGCCTCAGGGCGCCTCGCCCCTCACGGGCTCAGGGAATGGGCCCGTCTCTCTACAGCCATCTTGTTCGCCGGGTGTGGCTCCAGCTGTATCAAAAGCTGGGCCTCCTCCGTGGTGGCTAAGCCCCTGAAAGGTAAAGGCAGGAAAGGCTTAGGATGATAGCAGCTAATGTTTATGTAGCGCCTACTGGGTGTCAAGTACCGTTCTAAGCGCCTCACTTAATGGAGAAGGTTGGACCAACCTCAACTCAGCTCGACTATCTAGTTGACTACCTTGGTCACGCACCAAGACACTAAATGGTGGTTTGTGCCTCCCTATCCCCACTCCCTGCCTTCCTGCCCCTTATTTATTTTCCTGGTCTCGCAGGGGCAGCAAGGAAGGCTAGGAGCTCTTGTGAGCACAGACTCATCCCAAGCCCCGCTCTCCAAGGGACGCTCAAGGTAAAGATCAATTCCAACCCGCACATAACAGCGAGGGCCCCGGCCACTCTCCCTCCGACAGCAGTATGCATCACTCACTGTTTTCCTACTTGCTCCCAAGAACGTACCAGGTCAGTTAGCACTGAGGCCACAGCCCCTTCCGGGGGGCCTTTCCAGGCAGCCCGGAAGGGGCCCAACCTTGACTCATCCTATTGTGCTCTGGCGAGAAACAAAGACCACCCTTCCCACAGGGCATTGCCTGGATTCCTGGGTGTTCATCAGGAGGTGCTACTTCACCTCCTCTCCGTGGAATTGAGGACCCAGCGCAGGGAACAGCACAAGGAACCAACAGAAATGAGTGCCAGGCCAGGGTCAGCCGCTTACAGGCTGTGCGAGTGATTTCCCCTCTCTGAGCGTCAGTGTCCTCATCTGTAACGCGGGCGCCGAAACACCTGTGCTCGGGTCCGTATCAGGGCCACGTAAAACGACGGATGCCAAAATCCACAGCATTGTTTTGCCAGAGGCAAAGAGGCAGAGTAAAATATGGTAAGTCTTAACACTGGTGAAAAGCTTATATTGTTGAGAATTTAACAACAACAACAACAAAAATGCTACTGCTATGTGTACAGATACATTTGAACAAGACAGAACAAAGATTTCTGTGGTAAGCCCACTTTATAAATTAATATATCGAAGCGAAAGGCCTGAGCTACTCTACTGATTGAACTCTTCCGGCCCCACTGAAAAATCTCACTGTTTCTAAATCAGGACTTCTAATTTTTTGTTTGTGTAAGAATCATCCTCCCAGAGAGCCTCATTAGCCACTCTTTTCCCCTGACCGTCCCCTTTCCGTGAAATTTTAATACCCCAAATATATTGCACATCTGTTTGTGTACTGTGGCCCTTTGAAGGGTGACAAATCATTGTAATAGGTAAGATTTTTTTTTCACCCCACCCAAGAACCAATTTCACCCCCCGCCTTGAGCAGGTACAGTCTATATGGTTGTAAATTCTGAACGAGTGAGGTTTGAATTAAGCTGTTTGGAAGTATCAGCAGATCCACCCTGCCCCTTGCATAGTCTCTCCACCATAGTCAAGCTGCGACTCAGGGACCCAAAAGGGAGACCCGCTCAGAGTGTGCCGGGCAGCCACCTCACCACCTGCTGACCACGGACCCTCCCTCCACCGCCTCACCACTGCAGCTCTGTTGTGGCTCTTGCCTGGCCCCGTGGCCCCAGGAGCCAGGGCTCAGGCTGGAAGCGGGTGCAGCATGCAGGGGAAGGGCTCAGAGACACCCAGCCCAGCAGTTCCAGTCCTGGGGTGCATGGAGGGTAAACTTGAGGGATGCCCCTGCAACGCCCTGCTCAATCTTGTAAATAAGTAAGTACGGGCATTCTTCCTGGGAAAGTACCCTGTAGCCTTCATAAGGGTCTCTAGACGGGCAAGAGATGGTTCTACCAAAGCTACCCTCCTCACCTGGGCTCCCTCCCCGACCCCAGCTCTCCCATTTGTCCCCGGCCCATGACCCACATGGAAGCCACAGTCCTCTTTCTAAAATATAACCAGGTCCTCTTCTTCCTTGCTTAAAAGCCACTGAGATGGCTTCTCATCACACCTACAGTAAAACCCCAACTCCGGATAGGACCTACAAAGCCCAGCGTGATCTGGCCCCGGCTCCCTCGGCCTCGCCCACCACCGCCATGCATTAGCCACAAAAACGAGCTGTCTGTGGCTCAGGCCTCACGCCTTGGCTGCATAAGCCATTGTCTCTCAGGAGAGCTGTCCCCTGCCCCCGCCCCCCCAACCTCCACCTCCACGGCAGGGCTGGCTCCTTTTCTGCAAGATCTCAGCTGACCACCCCACATAAGCAGCCCCCTCCCCGGCCACCCTCACACCTCCTGCTTGACTGCTCCTCAGAGCCCCCAGCAGCATCCGAGATTGCTCTTGTCGGTTAACTTGACTGCGGCTGCTGATCTGTCTCCTCCACGGGATGTGAATTCCAAGAGGCCAGAGGCCAGGTGCGCCTTGAACTGTGCCTGGCACTTCACAGGCACTCACGAACACTTCTGGAAGGAATAAGTGAATGCCACCGCCCCATCTCACAGGTGAGGAAACTGAGGTCGCCTGAAGCCGGACTGAGGAAGGAAGCCTGGGTCTCCCTGCTGCATGTCCCACCTCCCTGCCTCCTGACAGCCAGTCTCCAGCTGAGACTCACTCCCAAAATCTCAGTCTCCAGAAGACGAGGACGCCCCGTCGGGGTCAGCTCTCCATCCTACACAAGCCTGGAATCTCAGTGATGGTGGTGGAGGGGCGTGCTTCTTGGTGTTTTCAGTGGTGGTTACATATATATATAACATACAATTTACCACGGTAAGCATTTTAAAAAATGTACAGTTGATTAGTCACACTGTCGTGCAACCAGGACCACCATCCATCTCCAGAACTTTTTCGTCTTCCCAAACTGAAACTCTGTCCCCATGAAACGCTAACTGAACTCCCCATGCCCCTCTGCCCCCCACCCCAGGCCCTGGCACCTACCATTCTACTCTCTCTGTCCCTGTGAATGTGACTATTCTGTGGTCCTCGTCCAAGAGAAATCGTTCAGGGTTTGTCTTTTGGTGACTGGCTTATTTCACTTAGCAAAATGTCCCCAAGATTCATTCATGCTGTAGCATATTGCAGAATTTCCTTCCTTTTTAAGGCTGAATAATATTCTATTGTGTGTATTTACTATATTTGGTTTTTCCATTCATTTGTCAGCGAACACTTGTTTCTGCCCTACCCGTTGGCTTTTGGGAATAATGCTGCTATGATGAACATGGATGTATGGTTATCTATTCGCGTCCCTGCTTTCAGCTCTTCTGGGTAGATACCCAGAAGTGGAATTACTGGATCAGATGGTAGTTCTATTTTTAATTTTTTGAGGAACTGCCACTCTATTTTCCACAGCAGCTGCACCATTTTACATGCCCACCAATGGTGCACAAGGGCATTTTCTTGGGTTTTTTTGCTTTTTGTGTGTTTTGGTTTTGCTTAAACGTTTTGACGGTGAGAAGAAGGGGAAAGGGGCAGCTGAGGCCTGTGACCCCGAAACTCTGCCCAGTGTGTCAAACTGTGGCTCCGTTCACCTTCCTCTTGCCAGCCCTCCTATCCCTGAATCCCAAGCCCACACCTGTGGGGCCAAACGGTGCGGCTGGCTTCCATATGAGAAGTGGACAGCAGTCCAGGGCCCCGAGCCGTCCCCAGGAGCACTCACCCAGGGCAAACGAAGCCATAGCGAAAAACACATCCTGTCAGGTCTTAGGAATTCACTGAGAGTCACCAGGCTGAAGCCTATTGTTTACTAGTGGTGACTGTATATCTGTGTGGGGGGCAGGGGTGTGGGGGACGGGGCGGCGCTCGGGCAACAGCATGTCCCTTCCTCTTTCCTAGGCCAACAATAATCGAAATCTGGCAACCAGAGTCAAAAATATTCAAGCCTGCAGGGCAAAGAAGAAACATTTACTATGTTTAGATTAAAGCACCTCCTACGTTCCCTTGTAGCAAAAAGGGTGTTCTAAGAGCAGTGGTTTTCAATTTAGGTGCATTAAAGAGTGCCCTGGAAGATTTGTTTAAAACAGATTATTGAGCCTCACCTTCAGTGTTTCTAAGTCAGTGGGTCTGAGGTGGGGCTTGTTCCTAAGGTGATGTTGGTGCAGCTGACCCACGAAGCACACTCTTGTGTAGCAAGGTGCTCAAAGGTCTGGAACGTCTGGGATTTGGCTCCTGATAAGTGGCAGGACAAGCACCCAGATAACACGAGTTCCCAAGCTGGGGAGCAGAGGTGGCTGGAAGGGAAATTTAGGACGCAGCAGGACCTCACGGGCAGAACCAGGATACAACCCATGCAAGATCAATAGCCTGATTCAATCTCTCGACAAACAGTGACTGGATCTGTCGGGGTACTTACATCTCGTATTTGCAAAATCTTTTACAGTTTGCAGAGCATTTCGTATCTGCTCTCCCCCACCTTCACAAAGGCCCTGTTATTTCCCCCATTTGAGGGGTGAGGCAACTAAGGCCCAGAGAGATGGAGTGGCCTGCCCAAGAGTCCAGTTCCTCTGCGTTTCTCCCACCCTCAAGGAGCCTCCAATCTCACAGGCATAAATTTCTCTCACCTGGGGGCAGTGTATGGTGGTGCTGTGAGCATCCCTCACGCTCAAATTTAAAGTTGGTTTGTTCTTTTCACATGACACACATCCTCCGGGGGACAGCATCCCTCTCTGGTTTCAACCCCATCTGCACTCTGACGACTCCCAGACCTCCCACCAGGTGGACGGTGGACATAACCGGTGTCCCGCTGCCTCACCAAACATGGTCAGTCAGGCCCACCCCACTTCCCTCATTTCTGCATGAATCTGCTCTTGGAAGGGGCATCTCTACCTGCCCAGCTGAAGGGCCTTCAGCTTCTTTCCGCATCTTCATCCAAAGCATCCAGTTAATTACCCAGTTCTACCATTTTCAGCTCCTAAATATTTCCCACATCAGTCTCTTCCTCTTCAGTTTCCTCACCAGTGCTCTAGACTGGCTTGGTCAAGACTTCATCCCCAGAATCAGTGCAATGGCTTCCTATTGGATTTCTTGGCTCCATTTTACCACCCTTAAGGCCATCCTCTAAAATACAAATCTAACATAATCATTCCTACTTCAAATCCTTCAATGGCCCTC